TATTTCCTATAAGTAAGTATAATATTAATGGGTATGTATAATGTTAAATACTTTCATGTGGGGGCCATAAGACACTTTACAAACATTAATATAATAAATTTCATAAAACCTCTATGTAGTGGTTCATTGGTATCACTCCTCTTTACAAAATGGAAAAATTTCCCCAGCTCCTCTTCAGGTGGAATTAGCAGCAGTGTTTTGCCCATAATCCTGTGTGGATATGGCCCTTAGTGACCTCTCTGATAACCACAGAGTCCAGAACTCCTGACTCCTATACCATTTTTCAACCAAATTCTGCAAAGCATACTGATATATTATTTTCCTTATTGTGTTTTAGAATTAAAATGCTTCTAGGTTAAGTTGTACACTTTGGAAATCCTGAGTCAGATCCTACATGTAGTATAAAAAAAGTAATTTTAATGTGGTTTCAAGCAAAATAATATCAAAATGGTAATGCAGATTATAAAATGATTAAAAGCTATATTGTTTTAGATAACTGTGTAAATGCTTACTTTCTTCACTGTGTGTAGCATGTTGTATGTATGTATTACTATTTGTGCAATATGGAGATAGATATGTACACATCTCAGAAATTGGGAAACAATTTCCTTTAAAAGTTATTTCCTTTGTTCTGGATAATTTATAACATATGTTTTTTGTGAATCTGCCTGGGGCATCGAGCCTGATGTGGTTAGGTTAACGTTAGTGCCAGAGTCTTTTGCTCATGACTTCATGCAGCAATTGAGTTTCCCTAACCTTCTAAACCCACATTATATTTGTGGTGCTTTGCATCATAAATCGTTTAACAAATTTATATGACAGAAAATGAGATGCTGAAGAAAGCCTTTAAATAAGTTTAGGGTGTCAGTTCAATCTGTCTAATATAAGCAGGAGGTGTTTAGATGTTTGGGCAGTTTTGCCAAGAGGAAGTTGGTCCTTAACAAACAAAGTAACTTTCTGATTGACTTGAATCAGAAACATCTTCATTCAAATTTTCCTAAGATGGGCTTCATTTTCCTTGGAACCAAACTTTTATTTCCAGTACTTAACCATATTAAATAATTAAGTCTTTCATTGGCCAAGTAGATATAACCTTGAACAGTTGTGACATAATTCCAGTTGACTATTAAAGTGTTGTTGTTGTTAAAATGATTTTAGTCACATTTTTAAATTGTGTGTCCTATTAACTGCTTTGCTGCTGCTAAATAGATACATTTTGCTAGCAGATCTTTTGTCAGTCAAATACCCTGTAAAGTGCAATAGTAACACTTATAATCAGGCTTAAGTATGCTGGCAGTACATAATATGTCTCTAAGCAGTGGTAGTTAAGAGGAAAGAAATATCTCTTTAGTACTAAATCTTAAAGATCGACAGTTGTCTAAGTTTCTGTGCACAGCTCATGGCATGCTTTGAATATTGCCCTGGTTTTCTTAGGTCAGCTTTTAGAATGAAAAAATAAAGTGTCAGAATAGAAAAAAATCCAAGCATTTACAGTGGAGTTGGATAGGTGAAAAAAGTAAATCTGTTAAAACTTTGGATAAAAGTTTATACTTCATAGAATACCCTCTGCATGTGAAATGTAGTTGGCAAGTATTTTTATGCATGTCTGTTAGTTTGAATGTGCGATGCTGATCTGTTTTTTGTCCTCACTGACGGTTATTATATACTAATGGGTGCAACACTGCGCTAATGATCCTTGTGTATATAAATTCTTCTTGTTGTGAGCAGACACCATAGGGCCACATAAAAATGTTTGCCTCAATTTCCCTGCGAAAAAGGAGCTCAGAAACCAGACTTGGCCAAGTAACAGATTTTTTAAAGGTAAAGGAACCCAATAAAATTACCAGCTTTTCACAGCATGAGTCTGCTTCCTTTCGACATATTGTGAGGTGTAGGTGAAATATTCTAACTGAACTGACAGTGTAAGGGGGGCAGCTAACTAGAAAGCAAGATAAAAGTAAACGCCACCAATGATGACTGATATTGCAGTAGCTATTAGTTGTTTTGGAGCCTCTGTTGTTGCTTTATGGTTTTTACATTTATAACTTGCACCTACATGCAAGTCTCAGTATAATGAAATTTAATGCATTAAATTAAGCTAACAGTATTTTGCTGAAATGATTGGTTTGGTTGTTTCAAATACTGTTGTTTTTAAAATAACCGATTGACAAGTTAGATGGTTTGTTGATTTTCACATTTAGGTGGTGGTAGATTTCTTTTTTTTATTTTTTTTTTTCTGTTTTTTGTTTTAAGAGGATCAGGTGTTTCTGCCCACCTGGTTTGAAAGAAAAAATAAAAAGAATACCTGTTTCTTAAACTGAAATCAATATTTGTAGATAGTATCCATTCAGATTGGTTTATGCAGCACACTGTTTTTATTGTTTTCATCTAAGAAGGATCTATGTAGTCCATATATCTTATACCTGTCAAGTAGAGGTGTCAGCCCTCTCTCCAGAATCTGAATTCTTTTAGGAAACAAAGCCAGTTAGCACGCTTGTATATTTCTCCATTTTGTACAGTGTTTCCAACATACATGATGCTAACTCTGTTTACTGTGACTAAAGAAAAGTACAGTGCCAAGTTGTTTAAGATATTTAGATTTATGAAGATGAATACAATCAATTAATAAGATTTCAGTGGTGAATAAATACTCTTATTGAAATTATTCAAGCATTGATAGATACCTAATAAGCTGAGAAAATTTCACTATAAATTTATTTGCACCTTTACATGTCTGAATAACTTGAAAAAAATCTGTCCCTTAAGTCCCTGTTCAGTTGTTACTGTGCAAACAAAGCAGTCGGCCTGTGTATTGGCAATAAACTGTAGGATTGGAGCTGTTGTAACTAAGAAAATATTTCTTTGTTATTGAATACAAATAATCAGCTGTTCTGAAGTATAAAATCTTATCATGTTTGTTTGATGAAATGTATTAGCAATTATTATTGATTCAGTTTTACATTTACTTGCATATTAGAATGTGTGTTATTAGTTTAACTGTTAGATGCATCTATTTAATGTATTATTGTATTTGAACCTTTCTGGCTCAGTGATGGGCTTAATTCTATCATTTTATATTAATATAATTAGTTATCATAACTGTTGCTACACAACTATGCAGTAGTATTTAGTATATGCATTTAGAATAAAATGAAAAGTGCTAGTGATAAAATGCTGTTACCATCCAATAAACTACCCAGCAAAAATATCAAAACTAATATAATGCCTGTGCTGACTGTACTTTATCTTTCTTGAACTATTCTGTTTTTTTACACTACCAGGCACAATTTATCATATTTGTTGTATATATATATTTTAGGTCTGTCTTTAGTTCTACGCTTTGTCAACCAGAGAACTAGTTACAATTATCTTCCCTAAATCATTGTAAGGTGATAGATTTCTTCATTTCAAACTAATATTCCAGTTTGAATTATGCATTCGTGCATATTATAAAAAGCAATTGAAAAGACAAAGTTGTGTATCCCCAGATGGGCCAGGAATTCTCTTAGGACCCTTTGAAATGGGATTAAATAATATGGTAGATAGTGTATGTTATGTAATAGATGATACCTTGCCTTGGCAGAGAGATGATTTGACAGTCTTCATTACTAATGGTATTTTTTAAAGGAGAGGACTGTATATTTGTTCAATAGTTAGCTCTTCAGGATTGTTGGAGTTTGTTTGCTTGATTGTTTGTTTGTTTCCATTTGGCTGCTTTTCTACAGAATTGGTGACAAAATAGAAGTAAAAATTACCTTTTTCCATTCATAATTCCTTCCTCCTTTTACTACTCCTCTTTATTCAGTATATAATGTCAACAGATGGAATCATAATTGACAGGCAAAATTTTAAAGCATTCTAAATGTCATTGGCCTTTTTAATAAAATTAATTAGTCTGCCACAAAGAAAATTTACTAGCCTGCTGGTTAATTTCACAATGTAAAATTGTGGGGTAGGAGAGAGAGAGGGAGAAACTTATTACTTTTGAATAATTATTTAAAGATGTGAGCCTTGCCTATTTCAAACAGTGTGGATGGCAACTGTGGCAAGAGCTTTTTAAAACTTAAATCACCACTGGTCAATTCTTCCCACATAAAGGTGAGGAAATCTAATGTAGCTGAAATGAAGAGATACAGGATGCCAGTTAATGGGAATCCAGTGACCACATAAGAAACTGCTGAAGTTTTAATTTTGATTATGTTATTAATATTCATAAATCCATTGTAATCTAAAGAAATAATTTTTATTCAAAGCACCTGAAACTTCTCTGCCTGAACATGTTTTATATTCAAAGAAAATGCAAGTTCTTTAATCTTTTCCAAAGTTTCTGAATTTATTAACAGATGGTGTTCAGTTCAGAGTGCACCTGATGCCTTCAGACTGATTTAGTTCTGAACAGTAGTAACTCAATGCTTAAATTTAAATGGTAGTGAGGCTAAAAATCTTAGAAATAAATAATGGCATGAAATCCAGATCTGCCTTAGAAATTATCTTGACCCCTTTCCTTTTTGGAAGGAGAGAAGAGCAATACCTGCTGAACACAGTAGTTTCTGACCTTCTATTGCAGTGGTTGGAAATTTGCAGATTGAACATCTTTATCTTGGAAAATGCTGATTTGATGAAACTGAAACATTCGAGGGGAATGTATTGATGCCCATCTCCCTCTTTTATCTGCCTTCCCATAGTCTTAGTACCAAAGCTCTTGGGTATATCAGATAGCTTCCTGGGTTGCCACTTAGCTGTCAGCTTACCAACTCTCCAAGCTATCCAGAATGCTGAGCAACTTGGCAGGTCCCTGATCTTGGCTTGATCTTGGCTTGGCAGGTCCCTGATCAGTCCAGCTACAGCAAATGGAATGTCTTAACTGCACTAGTCCAATGAGACATCTGGGCTTAGGCAGAATTTTGACCTTCAAATATCTGTGTGGTATGTCTCTAGGGCAATAGAAGGTAACTCAATGCAGCTTTTTATTATCTAATGAATTGTTTAATCCTTTACAGCTATACTAAATGTGGATGACTCTGTAGTGGACCAGGAAACTCTCGAAGCACTGTATGAGAATGTAAGTATGATAAGAAATAACATAATCCAAAGAGTTCAACACTCATAATTTTAGATTTTTACCAGGTACAAATATACTCAAAAAATGAATGAAGTTGTTTTTAATTAATCATTTTAGATGGGCGACATCTCATAAAAATAATTCTTAAGTTATTTAGTTAAGTTAAAATAATTTAGTTAAGTTAAAAATAATTCTTAAGTTATTCATGGACCATTATGGCTATAACATCACTCTAACACTACCTCAGATTTAAAAAATTCAGATGCAAAATTCAACTATAAAATAAAAATATAAACATTAAGTCCAATGAGTATGGGCATGGGTTTCTGTATCTCTGTCTCTGTATCCTGTTCACTATGAGTAATTATTTAAGCATTACATGTTCATGTTTGCTGTCACAGTTTTAACAAAATCAAGCTACAGAAGTAATGAAAGTCACTGGCTAAGTACCTGGAATGTGAGCCTGTTGAAATAGAAAATCAGCTGTTGATGGCAATAGCCTTTTCTGTTTGTGTAGAGAACACAGCTTCTACTGTACAGCTAGCTCAGATCAAAGGCTAGTTCATTCAAAGTAGGAAAAATGATAGAGAATTTAAAAAGTAAGAAATTTTAGGGCTTAAAAAGTAGGAAATTAATGAATAAACATAAAGCATAAAAAGTTCAAAAATTTTGGAGGATAAGATCAGAAAAATCTGTTCATGTCTCTAACTACAGATAATATTTATCTTATTTGATAAATCAAAAAGTTTGAATAGTAACACATATTTTGATAAACCTTTTTTTTCCTCCTTTATTCTGTATATTTAAGGTATTTTACTTTACTAACAAAAGCAATTTTAAAATGCACTTTTTAGATATTTTTATTGAATTCCAGTTTCAATTCAACTATATTTTAACACAAATCATGAGCAAAGCCATTACCATGTAATAAATAAGAAATATGTTGTTGCTCATTTTCTAAAGGTGAAAATAAAAAATTAACTATCTTCAAAAAATGTGTAGTAAATGCTGTAATTGCTTAAAATAATATATATAGTTATCTTCCTAGTTATCAAAAGTAATACTAAATTCTACCAGTGAGAGAGAATGAACTTTTCTTTAGGAAAGTAATTGAAGATTATAAATGCAAAAGAAGATGCATATCAATTATTTGAAGCAGGGGTGTTCAAACATGGCCCATGGACCAAATCTGATCCACGGAGCCAAGATATTTGGGCTGCAGGGCTCTCTACAGGTCAGGAAACTTGGCAGAGGGGAAGCAATGACCATTATTACTACCATCTCTCCCCTGTTGCCAAATTCCCAAGCCCCTTGTGGCTTGGTTGAGGCTAGGCCAAGCCCCTCTTTCCCATGCAGCTGGATCAGAGATGGGGCCCTCTTCTCACCCATGCAGCTGGATCAAGGCCTTATCATGCTCCCCACACCCTCTGCATGGCTGGATCAGGCCCCATCACACCCACCCAATGCACAGGATTGGGCTCACCAGCTGGTTCTGGAGGTTTCGTATTTGCTAGTTTAAATCATGAATAAAATTGGTGATTGATTCAAATCAACCTCTTTGTTTTTTAATATTAAATTTTCTGGTTCCTTTATGCAATCATGTAAGTTACTTAGTAGGCAAGTCAAAATTGTGGAAAAAATAAATGCAAATTATATTCACTGGAACTATTGTGTAAGCAGAAAATGTTGATGTTGGTCTAAATCACTCAAAGAAATAAGGGAAGTGCCATACAGAGAGCAGCATGTGTAGCGTGAGGTTTATCTTTTACAGTAACTCACCTTGGTACTTCAGAAGCTTGTGGAAAAGTGAAAAATTACTGATTACTGATAAGGAAGCCTGGAAAATTATAAATTATATTACAGATTAATTCTTTACAAAGTTTGGAGGAAAAACAGTAATCCTAAAATTTATACTAGGGGAAATGTATATTAAAATGAATAAACAGAAACACTGTTTTTAAAGCAAAGCCAATGTAAATGAAGGAGGCAAAAGATTTGACAAATAAGACACATTTTGAGACCGATGTCTAAAAGGCTTTTGATCATTTTGTTTCCTTGATCCCTATTGTATGTTGTGTGGATGAGCCCCATCTTTATTAAGAAATGCTTTGAGATCATTAGATGAACAGCACTATATGGTTATGAAATTATTGCCATTATTGACTACCGAATTAAGAAATTTTTACCAGCACCACCATAAACAAGAGGTTGATGCAAGCTGAGTAAATGGAAACTCACTATTTATCACACTACTGTAAACAGAATACACGAAGGCAGGACACTAAGTTAAATGCAAAGGGTTTTTTAGGTGCTATTTGTTACCTCTTATTAATTGTAGTAACAATTGAAGTTTCTTTCTGCTGGTTTCTAATTCCTCAGAGAGCACAAAAAGATGAATTGGAGAAAATAAAACAGCATTATGAGACTTCAAAAAAAGAGGAACTGAAGCTACTGGACAAGCCAGAACAGTAAGATTTTTTCTGAAATACTTTTGCATTGTTTTGAATGGCTCTTTGCTACCAGGCTAAGGGGGTTTGGGAATATAGTTCGGGGTGGTTAGTTGTTAAAAATCCACATTTCAAGATGGGATGCGAAAACTTTTTTTTATGTTACCTATAACATTGCATCAACAGGTGCCACTGGTTAAATATACTGATGTTACTATGTGATCCTTCCTGGTCATATTTTCTGTTCCTGTGTTCTCCCATCTTTAAAATGCTTATGTTTCTCTCAGAAGTACTAAGGATGAATTAAAGTTTGTAAAGCAGCAACGTGTTCCAGAATGAAAGGTTGCCATAGTTGTTACTGTTGTGATATGCCCTGAAACTAATGCTCAAGTCACCAGAAACCTTAGATAGAATCATATTTCTGCTTACCATCATAATATGTGAGCCCAGTCCCAGTTTTTATCCCTTATATTGGCTTCTGCTCCCATCTTGCTGCTTTCCTCACTCTCGACTAGCCTCCACTCCACTCTTCCCATGCCATTCCACTACCTGTACTCCCACTTAAAGGCCCCTCTATCATTTCTTCTTTTCCCCTCACAACTCTGCTGTTCCTTATTCATCTTAGAGCAGAGCACTGTGTGGAAAAGCATGATTATTAAAAGAAGAATGGAGGCAGCAGATGTGGCTTTGGTATTTGATTGCTCAGGATTTCAAATATCAAAAGCAATATTAGTTTTACACCTTTTTTTTATAAGGATGGATGTTCGTGGCAAAGGGCAGACACTTTTGTTTTCCCCACCCTCAGGCTAAACTGAGCACTTGCTGCTGATAGTTGATCATGCGCTGCTTTGGGGAGCAGGTTAATGCTGGGGACCAGAACTCTCTCTCATATGTTAGGACCTCCAATTATGCATATTCCTCACATTCATGTACTATCTCGCTCATTCATGATGTGTCTATGGGTTTTAGTTGACCATACTTGAGTGAGCCTGGGCCTATAATGTAAGGTTACAATGTGACTACTTGATGTTTTCCAGAGCTCGAATTTTTGGCAACCTATTTGCAGTACCTCTGGGTAAAATAAATATAAATGCATTTTATGTCCTGGAAGATATGAATCATACCTAAAGTTCCAGAGTTATAAGAGGCTGTGCCCATTTTTGTAAATCACAATGGGGAGAGGTTGGTCTTCATTAATCACACAGTCCGTTTTATGTTATCATTGTTCTGAAATTAAAAATAAGAGATTTTAAAGGAACAAATTATCTCTGGTCATTTAGAATAACATTTATATTCTCCTCTACTGCCAGTTCTTTACCAAATATATTTTATAAACTCATCTAATTATCCCATAACTTCCTCTCTTATTGGAAGATAAGACTTTTTTTTTACTCAAATTTTGCTTCATGATGAAGCAGTCCACCAGAGATGCTCTTATATTATTTTTATTGGTCACTCAAAATACTACACTTCGTGAAAATTCAGTAAATCGACAGTTGCTTTACAGTTCTTCAGTCAGTCTCAATAAACACAGGCCTGATGCTTTTGTTGGAACTACATTTAAGCATGGCATTCCACAAAAGATTAAGGACAAATTAATTTGACCCTTTTTTACACGGATTATAATTAGTTACTGCAGGGAATAAACCTGATTGCATTTTCATTAGTAAGTATCAGAACAAAGTTAAAAAGGAAATGCCATTTTTTTTAAATGATTACAAATGTTAACAACAGTTTGCATATAAAGTGCCTTGTAACTGTTGGGCTGAATTCTGCTCAGTCTGAAGGAAGCTTTTGCCAACTTCAAATGTTTTGGCATTCTAAATGAATAGAAAGTTTTGCTGATATCAACAATGCCCTCATTCACATGTGATTTTGATTTGCTTTCCTGGCATGTTACATTTGCTATTGTTGACACACACTGTAAATATATCTTAGCAATATGCAATATCCCCGTAAATTTTGTTTCTTAATAAAAGTTGCTAAAATGCTAATAGTCATTACAGTATTTAAGATTTATATGTGCAGTTGACCACAACATAAGCCTTTGGTGGTGGCAGATGCTTTAGCTAGCTTCCATGTACTGCATTTTGACTGTAATGTAATCTCTCTGTAGTTCTAGTTATTATGAGACCATTAGTACATAGGGGAATGGTAGTACAATGCTATACCATGCATCTTTACTATGCATGTTATTGACTAGAGAAAGGGAATTATCTGTTCTTTATAAGCAAAATGTTAGTTTATTCCCAAATAATGGCACTGAACCTTATTTGTCTCTGTCATATTGTGGCATATCACTATTGACTTTTGGTAGGAAAAGAAATCTTCCTATATTCAGGAATCAAAAGACTCCATGAAAATTCAAACTTCATATAGAAAAAATAATTTTCAAGCCCATGTGGTTTCAGAGACAGGTCATAAAAATGAATGAATATGCTTTAAAGGCTTAAAAACCAGTGGGTGCAAAGAAGTCAATGTTAATTATTTGTAAAAGTATTTCACATTTTTTAATTCAATCTCATTATAATTTGGAACACAGGTTTCTTGGGTGCTTGTAATTCACAATATTGGGAATAACATGTTCATTTCTGGCCACTTCATGCTGGGCTAAATAATGAACTAATAAGTGTACTAAATGATAGTAGTTTTCCTTCAGACTGTGCATAATTTCATAAAAGAGAGATTTCTAACCAAATATATCTTCTTTATCTATTTTCCAGTCCTTTAATTTTTCTCATACCTCATAGTTATACAGATTTCAAGAAAATGGTCTCTTAGCCAATTCCTAGATTTCAGTTTCAAAAGTCCTCCAAAGCTGGCAGAGAGAGAGACTATACCAAAATGTCTCAACTTTTTAAAGCTTTATATGGATAAAATCTGGCATATATCCCTTCAGCGTTGCATATGTCATTAAAGATTAACCCATTTCATTTAGACATGTCCTAGACCCTTGAAGAGAATTTTGGACTCCCCAAAATAGGGGACAGTGAACACTTTGGGAAGCACTGGGTTAAATAAATTAAAGTTATCTTCCATATCTATTTTTTAGGGTTCTCTTGTACTCTTTCTCCAGCATTGCCTTATTCAGTCACCTTGACACATATACCTGTCTGTATTCCAATAGAGGGCAGTTCCAATGAATTTCTCTCATTCACAAGGGAGACCTTAGGGCCAGGTACAGACATTACATTTTACTGGCATAAGTGATCAGAAACTGGTCTATTCCCATAACAAAACAGAAGTTTGGGGCACATAGACTGGTTTAAAAATGGTGGTAAGTTTTATCCCTGCCCACCCCCCCGCTTCCCCAGGGCAAATGTATGTTCTGTTCACTACCAGTCTAAACTACACCACTTCCAGAAAACCATATCACTTAGGTTGATACTGTCTCAGAGTTTTTGAATGGCTGTACCTCGCCTGTGATGTGGCCCAACATCTTATGTTTTCAGAACCATCTCCTTGTTACTTGGAGATTTGATGCTGGTAATATGCATTTCTTCTCTCATCCCTGTGTTCATAGAACCTCTGGCAAAGAACATGAGAATTTTGCTCCATTGGATTTCTTTTTTTCAGTTAAAATTGAGAGAGACCATTTTATATATGGCTTCTCTGACACTACTGTTCTGACACATAATGTATTAAGATGCAATTGTACAGAGATTTGGTGTTACATTGTAGTTCTCATTTTCACAGGTTTTTATATGAGTTATCACAGATACCCAATTTCGCAGAACGTGCACAATGTATTATCTTTCAGTCAGTTTTCTCTGAGGGGATAACCTCTGTGCATCGGAAAGTGGATATTATTACTTGTACATCTAAGGTAGGTCCAGCCAGTCTAACAAAAGCTAATTGCAAATGAAATTGATTTAAAATAGTATAAAGTTTTTATTTCCTTAAGCTACTTCATGGTTCCTAACATAAAAACTTTAGTCTCTGCATTTCCTTTTTAGGAACTTTAATGCATATTTAATAGCATGAAGTGATGTGTTTAATGTAGTATTCTGTCTCTAATATAGCAAATTCTATTTTTAACTGAATGGCAGATTTTAATTAACTTGTATAGAGTCAATCATTTTATGTAAATAGCGTAATGTAAATTATATAACATTTTCAGTATAGTCACCTTAAAAATTGTACAACCTAGTATAGTAGACCTGTTATAATAGTAATAGCAGAAAGAAAGACAGAAAGGCAGCATCAATCTTCTCCAGCACTGGGTGCGGGCTGTGCCCAGTGCTGGTCCCAGGTGGCAGCCTCCTGTCATCCGGCACAGATTCGGGGCTCACACCCCTGCGAGGAGTCTGGCACAACCCCACAGCCCTCCCGGGGTGCAGGCCCCTGGATTTGTGCCACATAACAGGAGGCTGCTGCTGCCAGCAAGTGTCCCGAGTTTTGCTTCTAAGATTTTGAGGTGCAGTTTCTGAGAAACCTCTCCTTGTATCTCCTTGAAACTTGGCAGGCTTCATGCCCTCAGAAGGGGTGAACATCCCTGCAATTTTTGCATAAATCAGGCAACAAATAATAAAGTTTTAGGTATTTTCATGATTCCCCATTATAGCTCATGGGCAAAACGTCGAAATGCATCAAAACAGCAAAACAGTTTTGACAAAATGAAATGTGACAGTGCTTTGAAATGAAATGAAATGATAAAATGAAACACTGTCCCTTTGAAACGGTGAAACAGACGTCAAAATGAAATGATGGTGTTTCGCACAGCCCTAATGTTTGTCTCTGTGGTATCAGTGAAATGCTGTGAACTGAAACGAAGTTCCCACAGGACTGAAATGCTTCAAAAAAAACCTTTGCATTCATTTGTGCATTCAGACCAGAAACGTAAGCAAACTTCAACCTGCCATTAGTACTAAAAATGTACTTGGGGACTCCTAAAATTGAAACATTTTTCTTCAAGTTTTAGAAATGCAAAGAATTGTTCCTTGGATTTTACTCAGGATTTCCATATACTTCTAAAAATAATGTTGATATTGAGTATTTACATGATGCTCCAAAGAGCATAAACAAAGCCTAAGCTTTGCAGAACCTCTTTGAGATAAGACAATGGAATTGCTCCCAGTTTATTTAAAAAGGCACCTGATTTGTGAGCCACTGCTATGGTAGTGTAAAGGGACCTTTACTTTTCTTTTACAGTGTAAAAGGACCTTAGAGTACTTTTCACTTGTTTTAAGGTTCTTACTCTACTACTGTGACACAAAGTAGGAATCAAACTGGCCGACTTGTTCAAAGTTATGGAAGAATTTTAAAGCAGAATTGGGAATAGTACTCAAGTTTACTTTCTGTTTATCCAGCCTTTCTCTTTCTTCAGATTTTTCCAGTACAACCCACTGAAAAGATATCAGTACAATTTATGCTGCTTACATGTACACTTACACTCTGCATATTCCCATTTTGTAATCAAATTCTCTTACCATATACCTCATCACTGAATTTATCATTCTGCCTTTTGAATCAGCTCTCACCATTTTTTAATGTCTGGAAGGGACAATGTTAGTTTACATGGAGGTCAAAATTATTTACTAGGCACTCTGCCAGGAGGCCATTTCTTCTTTTTTCAGTAATTAAAAATAGTTTAGGACCAGCTTGTGGCTCAGCCTTCCTGTCTCCCATATGTTGCACCAGCTACAGACCCAATGCAGTTTGTTTTCTTCCTAAATCAGCAGGGAAATTGAGAGAGGGATTATGAATCACTGAGTCCGTTCCAGGTGCAGAACAGAAGTATACTTCCCCGTAGTCTATGCCTATCACAAACTAATGATAGAGGGCTCCCCTATAAAGTTTTTTTATAAAAAAGTGTCTGTGTATGTGCAGTAACCTCTTCTCAAATAATTTATTTGAAGAACATCTACATTCATTTTGTGTCACCAGATGTTAGACAAATATGAACTAATACAGAATAGAAAAGGTCTCTTAATTTTTTTTTCTCTTTATTGTCGGATGGATGTACCAGTTTGGGGGTGAGGGGGTTGTCATTGTAGAGATAAATAATTCTCTTTTTAAAAAATAAACTTAAAAAATGCTTGACTGTATTAGTCCAGACTGGTATGTAAATCTTGTTCCGTGTTGTTTAAATATTTCTTTTTCTGATGCATCATATTATACACTGGCTTTTAGATTTTTTTCTTCCAAGTTTGATTTATGCAAGTACAAGCCACATTACTTTGTCCTATAAATGAGCCAGCATTGAAATCTTGAACCCAAACCCCAATCCCTTGGCTCAAATCTGTTTTAGACTGGTAAACAAATGTGTTCTTATAGCAGTATAATATATCATTCAAGTAACTGAAAAAGAAACTCTTTGTACAGCTGAAACCAAAACATTGTATGTTGCATTCCAGCACAGAAAGAATTGGTTTTCTTGCTTTGAAAACAAGATTTTTAAATATGAGAATTGACACAGTAGCCTGATTAATAGTGTTGTGAATCACAGAGCTTCGTTTTGCTCTGAAATGTGACTGTAAGTTGGTGTTGCGGTAGTCTCCTCATTGCCCAGAGATTTCATTTAAAATTTTCTCTGCTTACAAGTGAAGGGATATTTTTTACTGCTGATTCTGCAACCAACCTTTTAAAAAATAAACTAAGTGATGTCTGGTTTCATAAGAGAAGATAAAAAAAAAAGATGCTGAAATCCAAATTAATGCACCCTGTTACACCTGTGCTACTCCCTTGTCTCCTGATTGTTGCCCCACTTGCACCTTTGCAAACCCCAGCAAAGGTACTTGCTCAACTTGTTTGTGCCTTACAGAGCAGCTTGAGTTTCTGTAGTTGATAATCACAGTATAACTTGATTGTGTAAACAATGAACATTTAATATGGAATATGCGAGAGACAAATGTTGACCTCCACAATGTCTTGCTTGCAACTACTGCACTTTAAGTTCAAATAGTGGAAAACTGAACATTTTTCTTGTGTGGTTGAACATGGAGGAAGTGTTTTAGGGAAACCCACATTTTTTTAAAGCTGTAACTCCATACACCAAAGAGCCAAAATATTGTCATCTTTGTGACAATCCAAAATTACAAATTAGTACTTGTTTTCCAGGCTTTGCTGAGCTTGAAAAGTGTGAAGGAAATTCTAGGTTTGATTTTGGCTTTTGGAAACTATATGAATGGTGGGAACAGGACACGAGGTCAAGCAGATGGATTTGGTCTGGAAATTCTTCCCAAATTAAAGGATGTTAAAAGCAGAGTAAGTACTTGTTTTTACTTATTGGGATATTTGTAAAGAGATCTTTGTGTACTCCATCATTAGTTCCTCTTCTTCACTCCTTCTTGCCACTAGTTCCTCTTCTGTCTTCCTCCTCTTACCTTTCTCTGATTCTAACAGCAGGACATTGTGTATGTGTTACTCTCCGATTTTCACAGTTTCCCTCAATGTTGTTTCCCCAGCTGCTGCTCCTACAGTGTGGTCAGAAAAGATTGTGCAGCCACACCACTGCACTCCTCTGGATCTGCCACTGCTGAAAGGTTCAGCTAAGGGCTCAACAAAAAAACATGTATTGATTTGAATTCCTGAGCCTAGGCCAAGTAGTATATAGTAAGGCTTCTTTTTTAAAATTGATAAATAGCACATCTACATCAAATGGCAAGAGGTATGGTTTTGATCTCAAAACCTCCAAACTCTAGCAGGTCTTTGGTATTTGAGTCAAATTCATAGTCTGGATATTAGTAGTAGGCAACAGTCAATCATCTGGATCATGGTGTATGCGTAAGATGTCTAGTCAGGTGCCTGATGAAACCACTAGTACAGAGTCCTGCAGCCATCACACCAAGACCTTCAATGCTTATGCCTAGGCATGAGTATGGAGGAGTGGAGGCTGCCCAAGACCTATCATGCCCTTTAGACCACTGAGACAGAATCCAAAGGCCAGACCGAGTCCAGAAGTTCAGTGCCTCAGTGGATGTAGCTTCTGCCAAAGAGCAACAGATAAGAACTGCTGCTGACTGGCTAACACCTCAGTGAGGACATGTTTCTGTCAGGGTGATGTCCCTTAGCATTCCTCCAGCCAAGGAGTACCCACAAGTTAGTGAGAGCTAGGGTTTTGAGGCACCGTATTGAGGCTAGGGTTTTGAGGTTGGAACATTGCATTATTTTATAGAAGCTATCTCACCACAAGTACCCTAGCACATTGACAGGAGGCCCTCCAGTCATACCCAGTCTGAATATGAAATATATGAATATGATATATCTATATCTATATAGATATAGATATAGATATATATATATGACTATGTTTTAAGGTCTGGTTTGCAATCAACCACCACATCCCCTAGATGTTTGATGGGACCAATGGTGCAAAGACAATCTTTGAAGTCCTCAAAGCAGAAGGGAAAATAGGTCAGGCTTGAGTGCAGTGCAACCCAATCCAACCAGAATGCATATGAGATCATTCCTCAGCAGGCAGGAAAAGAAACATTGTTTCCTCTTTCTGTCACTATTGCCTGGTCTTTGGATGCAAAGGAAAGTGAAAACTTCAGTGTTTGCAGCAGCATTTCTGCTGAGATTGGTATCCTGCACTGTGACAGAGGCATAGTTTGAAATGCATTTTCCAGATGCTGCTAGACTAATCAATTGCCAGTTTTGAGGATTAAAATGGAATTTTTTCCCACAAAATAAGACTGGCAATGTGTCTGAGATTTTTTTTTTTTTTGGATTATTTTTGTCTGTCTTCCTGGGAACATCCTGAATGCCCTGCTTTAGGTTAATGAGAAGCGAGAATAAATTGTGAGTTTCTCATTTCATCACAAGTTTCTGGCCCATATTCATTTGAGGTCTAAATCTCTAAAGGACTAGTCAACAAAGATATATATGAGACACCAAGGGTGCTTGTATACACCATGGGTTTTAATCATCATTAAATTAAATAGGCTTATAAAATCTATGGATGTGACACTTTAATTCCTGACGAGCCAAACTAAACTGTTTGAGGAGTTTTAGTTTAATGCACAAGAAAGACTTTTAAAGCACCAGGAAATCCCACTCATGCAAACAGACATGCAGTTGCTGCTCTTGAAAGGGCAAAAATCATGGTATGTATACGAGCCCCAAGACTTAACTGGTATACCCTGTTAGCCTGGAGGAAGAAAAGTCCTTGACGTACCTTTTTGTGCACAAATGAAGGTATCCTCTTGTGTACTTTTTATGCTCACCTGTGACAGGAGAAAAACAGGATTTACACGTTGTCTGAATCCTAGGGGTTAGGATAAATAGGACCAACCTTGAACTTTGATTATCTGGTCTGGAGGGAGCATGTAAAATTATAGTGTACCTCAGGAAGGTAACAAGGATGAGAAACCCAACAGTTAAAATCCGTGCGTGCGTGCGTGCGTGCGTGCGTGTGCATGCACGCACGCGCTCCATTCTTCTGTTCTCCAGATTTGCTGGTATGGATGAAATAAAATTTGACAGATTTGATATGAGGACATGTATAGAATAGAATGGCAGTAATGATTTACTTCACAAAAGCAATCACAATAATAACACGTGATCTCAATTTTATGTCTGTCATGCAACCTACCACCATAGTATTTTATATGAATGTTAGATAAGCAGGATTGTTTAGCCTGCCTGAAGACTAGTGACTTGCTTAGTTAACAATTTTGCTGCTGTATGATATTATTAAAATATAATGTGGGGCAGACTCAAATATAAACAGGACATCTCTGTGCAGGAAATCATACGTTGTGCATATCTGAACATTTATACTGATAGCTGTCAATACACACTATATAAAAACACAAAAGAAAGCCATCAAAGACATTCCATATGTAATGCCCTACATTGTCTTTCTTTTGCACAGTTTAATAATTTCCTGAAACTTATGATTCCATATCTGAAATGCTGTTTTACCCATTTCCCCAAGACAGCTGGGTTATGTTGATTCAATAATACATGAGAAAATAAAGCACTGTCACGTACCCTGCTAGTATGTGATGCAGGACTAAGAAAACAGTGTATATGCAATGGACAAATTTACACTGCATGGTTCTATATTTGATATTACATGGTTAAACATCCTTATTACTTCTTGACCTGTATTATATTGAAAATGAGACTAGATGAAATTAATAGTTACTTCTGGCCTTGAAATAAATGGATTAATTATGTTTTCTAGACAATTCTAGTGTCCATTCATATAATTACTTGAATTATTAGTATTTGTGTTACAGCTGGCAAATTTTGTCCCTGTAGGACCCAAATAATTCCCAGTGCTGTTGATAGAAGTTACTGAAATTCTGTCTTGCAAATATCAGGACCCTGATGATTAAGTAGCTGGCTTTTTGTGGGCAGTGACTTTGACTAACATGCCCTGGGTCCTGTTCCAGATGGCCATATAAATAATAATAACAAATTGGATTCCCTTTTAAACATTTCTTTTGAAACTGCACTTACCACATTTTTGCCTCTTTTTTTCAATCCCAATTTAACTTCTATATTAACATGTTTAATTTCTTCCTAGGATAATGAAATTAACCTTGTGGATTATGTTGTCATATATTATCTGCGGCACTGTGATAAGGTAAATTATTCATTTGGTGCATTGACTACTGTGCCACTACACCTCTTAAATATAAAGTACTTGAATGTAGTACAAAATATATGTTACATTTCGGATATTTTTTGGAGAAGTTGAAACCTGATTGGAGTTAGAACTTAATCAGTGTTCCTGTCATTGTCTGAGATCAGGCAGGGGCACCCTATTTAAAAAAAAAAACAAACAGCTGGTTCCTACTGTTAAATGATGGCTACTTTGTCTACTCTGTTCATCTACTCTGTATATGGCTACTCTAGTCTACTTTGTAGACTAGATAAAGTAGTGCCCAGAGTTAAAATAAGGTTTTTAAAAACCAAAGCTAAATATAAAATATGAACAGATTTATACTTATAGATTTATATTTGTGCATGACTACAGGGCACTACAGAGCACATTCCTAAGACACTCTAAGAAACTTGTCCTAAAATCTGGGCAGTATGAACAATCCAACCCTACTTAATATGTAATAGGCAACAAGTATTCATTATGCTATATGGGTGGACAAGGAAAGTTACAGGATTTGTCTGGCAGCCTCGTTAGAATGGTCAGTTTCAGCGTTTGTCATTGGAAACTGCCTGCCAAGACACCTGCCATCATTTAACAGTAGGAACCAGCTGTTTGTTTGTTTTTTAAATAGGGTGTCCCTGCCTGATCTCAGACAATGACAGGGACACTGATTAAGTTCTAACTCCAATCAGGTTTCAACTTCTCCAAAAAATACCTAAAATGTAACATATATTTTGTACTACAATGTGGGAAACCAAATGCTGCATTTTCAGTGTGACTTTCCTGCAAGGGAGAAGCAATGGTAACCGGGATATCTCTGATGCCTGAATGCAGTAGAAGGTTGCTGCTTCAATTAGGGATTGATTGTAAAAGAAGAGGTGCTGTTGCACTAGATAACCTATGTTTTGTCAGGTAAGGTACTATGTACCATGATGTATGTTGAAGGAGTCCAAAGCTTTGGACCAGAATCAAAAATATATATCTTGCTGACATTAGAAATGTGCCTATACCTGACCATTGGATTTTGATACTGAATGGGTGCATCTATACATGTGCTTTACTGTGGAGTAGACTAGTTAGCTCTGCAGTGAAGTGTCACTGCCTACAAATGCACTTGTATTAGGGCGCAGTAAAATAATAAATTCTGCTATAAGATAGTACTGGTGGGGATTTTATTGTGCTATAAAAGACTCCAGCTGATCTTCTCTGAGGAAAGGTAGTTATGTAAATTGCATCTTTCAACTTGAGTTTGTTTCTAAAGCTTTTTATCTGTATAATTATATAGCTCAGTTTTTTCTGAATGTTCACAACTGAATCATACTTATTCCTCCAAGTAACTTTTCCTTAAAGACTGACTCAAAAAACAGAAAGTATTTAAGGCTCAGGTGGTATATCCTCATAAATGCCATGCCATTAAAAATACCATTTACACAATGCTTTTGAATTGTTAAGCTTTCCTTTGAGAAGTGGCTTTGAATAGTCTATTTTTTCTTCTAATATTTTTTTTTTGTCATCACAGATATGAGGTACATGCACAGAGTTCCATATATAAGCAATAGGCCCTGTGATTTATTTCTCTACATAAACCCACAACTATGTGTTTTTATTTGTTCAAAATATATACATTAACCAGGGTTTAAATACTGATGGCAATTTATAAAAGATATGTATTCATAATAAATTGGAAAAGAACACAGCCACAAACAGTTGGCATAAGATCACTTGTTATATTAAAATGGACTATTTTAATAATTGTCTGTTTTTAAGAAACATATTATTTCTTATCTAAACCCTTATTATAAAATAAATAGTGAGCTTAGTGTTGCCTGATAGTTGAGGTTGTCTATCCTCCATTACAATTTGCAGCATATTGTAATATAGTAACAGTATAAACTAAAATAAGATTGTTGTCCAGCTGGTATCCTGCTGGAAATGAAGGATGAAGTCCTGGCTTCATTGAAGTTAATGTCATTACTCCTTTGACCCCACTAAATTCACGGATTTCACCTAAAATATGCATCTCATAAGGTTGTTCCTGGAAGTAACTATTTTAAATGTAATATTTTTGCAGTTTTATTATCCTAATTCATAGTTAAAATTTTGAGAGTAGAAACTTGTTTCATTGTAAATGTATTTCATTTACATAATAAATTTATTCATGTATTTAGGAAGCTGGAACAGACAAGAGCATTTTTCCTCTACCAGAACCACAGGATTTTTTCCAGGCCTCCCAAGTTAAGTTTGAAGACCTAATAAAAGACTTAAGGAAACTGAAGAGAGATCTAGAAGGTAACTGAGAACTTTTATCTTATTATACTAACAATTGAGTGCCATTTAAAAATGACCTTTTTGAGCTTTGTTTATTACTAATTAGGATTATAGTGTTAATAGATCCAGTTGTATTTACAGGCTGGCAAAAATTGCAGATCTAAAATACTATTATATAATTATATTTTTTAAATTAAACATAATTTTCTGCAACCCACTTTAAATTCAAAAAGCTCCAAAAGAACTCTCTTAAAAATTTCCTGTTATATGAGAATTTTCCCCAACCTTCTCCAGGATGTTATGTTTTAATTTTAGGTTTCTTTTAGTACAATAACATAAATACCTTCTTCAGAACTTGTATAAAAACAACTTAACAGCTACAAAAAAAAAGCTACAGCAAATGATGACTGAATATTTTAGGCTTGTCATTTTTTAAGTAATACCAAGGCTGTTCTGGATGGAAAAGGAGAATTTGAACAAAAATCTACATGAAAGACTAAAAAAGCTATTCCACTTAAATTTAAACAATACATTAACATTTTTTTTTCAAATGAAACAATATTTGTAGAATCAGAGTTGAACAGGGAAGATGTAAGGCAATGAAAACTATCACAAAATAATTTATTTTTCCAGTTTGAAATGGCTCAATTAGGTCATAGCCACCTTAAGGAGAGTTTCAAAGGTCAACAGTGGTAGGAAAGTATCAGTTGTTGTTTATTCAACCCGGGCATACCCAAGTGCTCTATCTCCTCTCATCGCTTGCCCCTGTAAAACCCTTGGCCTGCTCTCTCTTGTGCTAGTTTGTGCAGAAACATGATCTGTGTTTGATCTTGTACTCTTCCAGCATGTAGTCCTGCTGCCATACATTTCAGTTTTGCAGGCTCAGCTACAAGGCTTTGACACTCACATGATTTTAGTGGTAAATTGCAAAGCAATGAGAAAAAGACAAAAAGATGAGGGGAGTGATTTTTTTTTTTTTTTTTTTACTATGCTCTTTGCTTCCTTGTTTTTACAATTACAGATTCATTGTGATCTTTGGTTTCTGGGCTTCAAGGCTGATTCTTCCTTAGGTTTTATAAAAAATGTAGGAGCATGTATAGGAAAATTCTAAGTAAAATGTTGAGTTTCCCTTTATTGCATTCTATGTTAATGATATATTTGAAAGTTGACAAAGTCAAGCAACAAATGAGGTTATCATGACTTGACAATGCACAGGATTTTTATTTGTTTATTTATTTTTGTGCATTGGGGGAGACCAGAAACAAAAAAACCCCACTGATTATCTTTTGAAATGCCAATGATTTTTATCATTTGAATTATATATGGAGGAATGCTAATAATGTCTCTGGGGGATTTCTATTATATTTAAACAACAAAATGAGCAGCATTACTAAACAAGTTGTGCAAAACATCCTTTTTAATATCTTTGTTCAAATTCTTTCTTTAGATAACACTGTATTTTATTGGACATCAAATATTTTAATTGAAGAGTATATCATTTTAACACATACAACAAAAATTTGATGACTATAGTTTATTGTAGGTATTAAAAAGTTGTGGCTGCTGGCAGAATACCAGTGAAAGTCTAAAGCTGAAACAGATGTGATTAGCAGAAACCAAGTCCAGAGAAGCGTCAGGCCCAGCCATCCAGGCAGGCGCGGCCCTTCAGATGTAAATAATTTGAACAATATTAACTGGAGTTGCCTGTGTTATAGGGTACATTAGAGTTATTTTACAGTTAGGTTGGTTAAGGCAGCCAAAACAGTATTCTGTGGAAGTGGGATGAAACAAAAAGTAATAAATGGAGTGAGGTGTTCTCTCATGTGTCACTGGAGAACAAACTAGTGCTTCTGTTAATGGATTATTTTACCTAAATCTACTTCTTAGAAATTAAGATAGCACAACAATGAAAAGGCATAGGAAATTTAAATGGTTGTCTATCATATCTAAAATGTTATTTTCAATGTAAGTAGTTGATTCATAATTAAAGAAGATTCACTTACCATTGAAAATGAATTGTTTGTTCATCTTATTGAGACAATCATTTATCTGGATATCACATATTTTTAGAAAGAAGAACTGAATGGGCATAGCCCTGGGGCATGTCTTCCTTGTCTGAGCCTCTGGTTTGAAATACCTAGACTCCATGGAACCAAGAGTTCAAATCCAGACAGGGGCCACACAGCCTTTTTATCTTTTTGAGGCAAACAGATTGAGTTCCATGCAATTTACTGTGCAGAGATCTTCCAGATGGGATATTAAAGGAACAGCATTCACTATTATTTGGTTCAAAATTTCATTCTGTGAAAACAAAATTGCAGAAACCTGTAGAAATGTTTCTATGAGAGTTTTAATTCCAAATAAAACAGCTTTTTAACACCTATTAATAACAGACTTTGGAACACTGAGAACTTTAAAGTTAAAAATGTCATGAACAAACGTAAAACGAATGTAATTGAGTATCATTTTCTAGGTGATATTACACAATACACTTAGACCATACTAAATGTGTGCAATTTAAAGTGGTATTAAAGTTAGAGCATGTAAGCTGGCACAAGTTAAAGGTTAATACCATTTCTTGCCTGCACAGCTCTGACTTGCCACTAGAGGGATGGTGAGCAAAAGTATGGCTAGGAACCAGGATACCTGGGTTTTATTCCTGCTCTGGACAGCAGGAAGGGGCAGGGAAGAAAAGTGGGGTTGCAGTAGCAGAAGCATGAAGCTGGGAAGTGAAGAGAGATGGGGGCTCTGGTTTCCTACTCAAGGCCCCCCTCATTCCCATCCTTGGGTCTAGAATGGTGGAAGACACCTATTTTATCAGCATGGAGTCCCCCAGGTTTAGTACAGTGGAAGCATGAAGCCGTGGGGACAGGGGAATCCCTTAGCTCCATGTCCTTTGGTCTGTACTGGGAATGGAGCTGCCAGAAGCAGCACAGAGCCGCAGGGAAACATGCTTCACTGCTCTCTGTGGCTGCATGCTCCCACCATCCTAAACCCCAAGGGCTCTGTGATGGTAGCAGAGCCTTCACCCCTCATCCCAGAATAGGAACAGGGCATTTGGAGGGAAGTCACAGTCCCCCTTAAGCCACCTAGCCAGGAGAGAGCCAGAAGCACTTAATGGGAAACAGGCCAGGAAGGGTGGAAAATTTTCAATTCACCTCCGGTAACCAAGGCTAGTTGAACTTTTCCACAACTTTTGCCTGGCTCCAGGCAAAAGGTGCACCCCTTCCAGGGAAACCTGGGGAAGCTGAGATCAGGTCCAGGGGGCTGGGATCAGGTTGGCAGAGGTTGGTGGATGGCTCTCTGGGTTCTCCACCTGAGACAAGAAGTGCAAGAGCCTGCTGAGGGAAGCCACATCCCCCATGTCTCTCAGCCTCTCATCTCTATGATTCTGCTGCTGCAACCCACTTCCTGGCCTGCTCCCATGTGGTACCACCCCCTGAGCAGTAGAGTTCAGGAGGGTGGAAAGTTGACAAATGGAGCAGGATTGTGGGGGTTGGGAGCGGTGAATCCTGGGATAATAGAGGATTTCTTGTTTTATCACTGTGCAACATATTGAAGTTACTCTGACAGAAGCTGTCTAGCATACCCCAAGCACACCCTAAAGTGTCATAACTTTGAGACATTCAGAGGGCACTTAGTGCAAGTTAACGAGCTTTAACATGGTCCCATAAGTGTAACATGTAACTTCACTCGCTAAATTGAGAGGTATGCACAAAATATGCAGTGTAACTAATGAAATAGAAATACAGAAGTGAAATTCTGGGTCTTAAGTTAATGATGAAATTCTTCTTCTGTTGTCTACTTACTTCATTAAATTGAACTATGACTAGCAAGATAAGAAAAGAAATGTGTTCATGTTACAACATTTGTAAGTGGACTCTGTTAACATGACATTTCTTTTTGCCAGGTGTGTATTTTCAAAGATTATATGGTTTCTCTCTGTGTCTGTGGCAAAAATATCCATTTCTTCCTCTCACCCCAAATATTTCTGTCCCTGTCATGTGTAGTATGCTGTTTGATTGTTGCTCCCACAGAGATAAATTCACTAGTGGTTACATATGAAGTTTGTAACTACATCCATAACATCTGACAAAATAGGCTGAACCTCATGTCTTTCTGTACAGTTTAATCCAGTGGTGCTCAAGCTTTTAACCCTGCAACCTGGATCCAGCCTGCTACACTGGATCCAGCTATAGAGTGACCCCACATGCACCATATCTGACTCTGTATATCAGAGCAATGCCGCGTTCTCTGGATCTGGCCTCAGAGCAGTGCAGTACACTTCAGATCCAACCCCACGCATCCTAGATCTGACTCTATACACTGGCCTGGCCCTAGATGCCAATGCAACCAGGCATGAGAGACCATATCATCCAGCCCATAGGACTCCTTATGGATCCAGAAATTTAACAACTGGGGGGCAGTGGTATTTTTAATTGCCAGAGCCAAGGCAAGGAATACTGCCATCATTCCCCTGCTACCAAATTTTTGGACCCATGTGAAAGCTTCTGGGCTGGATAACAAGGCCCCATGAGCTACAGGTTAAGAACCACTGATTTGATCCATAAGGTGCCTCCCTAACCTACCTTCTGCCTACCTTTAGACTAACACAGCTAACTACCACTCTCTACTTAAGGACTTTTTAAGATGCAAACTGTTTTACAAGTATACAATTTCCTCATGTTCTCTTCATTCATTTTCTTTCTAAGGTGAACAGGTCTAATCTTTTCAATTTATACTCATATATGAGGGCTTTTTTCTGTGTCTTTGGTCATTCTCATTACTTTTGCTGCAATACTTTTTTTGAAATACAATGCACAATAATGTACAAGATGTTATTATAATAATATTTGTATTTTTTACCACTAATTTCTTATACATTCTAAATTTTGTTTAATGTTTCAACAATACGTGCATGTTTAACAACGTCTGTACTGGGCAGCTTAAAATTAGAGCAGAATTAGGCTCACACTGAGGACTTTTGAAGTTGGTATCAACTTCATTTTCCATCAGTAGAT